CTATTTTACATTTTATTTATATATATATATATATATATATATATATTATTCATCACATTTCATCCTATACAGTTTTATTCTTAATCATGAAACTTGTACTCAATAACAATTATCTCTAATGAAAAAAAAATGTCAGTCTAGTAAAGTATCTAATTAAACATCATATTTTTCGCAATATATATTCGACTATCAAATACTGCTATAGATAGAGATATTCGAATGATATAAGAAATATCTAATAATAAAATCTATTGTCATTTCATATCTAAAAGAAAAAAAAAATTCATTAAAATACGAAAGTTGAACATACGTACACCGGTATAGCAAATATGGCTGTAGAATTAAGGATATTCGCGATGAAATAACGAAAATACATGAATGCCCCGATGTGTCGTTAAAATGGCAAGTAAGTTGTTGCGATTCTAAAATATTTTTCATATCTTTCGCATCGTCTTCTATTTTTACAATTCATTGTTACTCGCTCGATTATCGAGGGATCAAAATGAAATGTAATATGAAATATAAACACAAATAAAAATCTGAATTTATAATGAAAAACGATCAATTATCACCGTAACATTTGTCTATCACTCATGATTATTCTCGAGAGCAAATCAAATTTCTACGAATAAATGGCTTTCGATCCGTATACTCGTTGTAACTTGACATAAAGGGTAACTGCACTGATGGTAGTTACAAGAATAGTAGTTAAAAAGAACGATATAGCGGTGTAAAAACCACTGTGTGTCATGCAAACATTAATTGAATTTCTCGCTACTTCTTCGATAGCAGTTTCTTCGAGTTGTTCCAAAACTTGATTGCTAGCTTTGCTTAAATCGTCCACCATGATTACTCTGAAGCCACGACCGATACGTATGGAATCAGATAGTAATACAGCTGTACCGTTAGATGTCGTATTCGACGGTGTATACATTATCGAACGTCGCCGTCTACCTGGTTCAATTTGCTGGAAAGGTTATAAATACAATGTTTTTTTGACAATAAATTAATTCGATTCATAAAAAATAATTAATTATAATAAAAAATTAAAATAATTTTATAATATTTTATATAATTATATATTATTGAATATCACAGGAATACTTGATTCATTTCTGGACAAGGCTCGCAATCGGTTTTACACAGTTCCACATTGCATTCGATGAATAGATCCATCACATCGGGGAATTTGAAAGCTTGGAAGTAAGCATAAGCAATAATTGATGCTCCTGTATTTCCGGTATCATTTGTCTTTTGGAACGCACCGAATAATTTCGGTTTCAATATACAACCTCTTTCGTCCGTTAACTGTAGCGTATTGGTCGAAGATTCGTCGCGAGCAATACAATCGTGTACCTTGAAATTTGCAAATTTTCGTTAAAACAAGCTATGTGTATATTTCTTTTTATATTTATTTTTATATTTTTATATTTATTTATTATTTTTTTTTAATAAGGAAAATGAAGACAAAATTAAAAGTGAATTAAAATTAATATAAAAAAATATTGTTGTAACCTGAAGATCGAAACCAGGATCTCCTTCTACAGATACAACTAAAGTCATGGTCTCTCCGATTTTAACGAGTCCATCGGCAGTAGGCGCGAATGGTCCTCGTCCCACTTGTATATCTAATTTAGCGGTTGCTGTGTCACCGCTGAACGTCACTATTTCCTGATTCAACATATCCACTGAGAAATTCACCGTCAAGGCTTTGTTGATGTTCCCTTCCCACAGACAACGAACTCTTCGCACTGTATCCCAAACCTCTTGTATTCCTGGTTCGTTCTAAACAGAGAGAAGAAAGAAAGTTAAGTGATTCAGATTTTATCGAAATTGTGCAAAGTTTGAAATGAAATTTTACCTGCAAAACTAAAACATTTTCAAGATATGCCTGACCAGCTTCACCTGCGAAATCGTTGATGAATTGAGTACCGCAGGAATCCAAACTGACTGTGAACGAATATTTCGTCTGCCCAGAATTTTGCTCGACATATCTACATTCTGGATTCGTATAAAATCCCTGCGAATATGTAAAGGATGAATATAAAATAAGTGATAAAGATGAGTATGACAATTCAAAATATCATATTCCTTATTTACTTTCGAATAAATAACACCATCGAAAGCGCGATTGAACTCGATGTTGATAGTCATCATAGTCTTACTGCATTCCACATCGAGGGAATGAATGTGTGGAGGATGTTTTAAATCATCTTCTGTCGCACCTTCACCTATCGTCGTTCCAGAACCGCTTGTTCCTACAATGACGAATAAAATATGAATTACAATCTCTTCGTGATTTGCATTGTCATCGAATATAATCTATCTAGCTTTGAAAAGAGAAAGCAATCGAAAACATAGTACCTTGTCCGGTAGGACCACTGGGTGGTCTGCTTGGTAGTCTAGTAGTTCCTCCGCCAGTCTGAGGAGGGAATGCTCCACCAGGAGTAGAAGAGGGGAATCCCGATGAGGAAGGATATCCACCTTGATCGTATGAATATCCATTGGGCGAAGGATATCCAGCAGAAGGCTGTCTATAAGTAGATGGCTCTATGTATGTAGGACTTGGTCTCTGAGTCGAGTAATCGTAAGTAGTAGAGAAACCGGGTGGTGTGGAGGTAGCAGGAAAGTTAGATGTCGTGTAACCATAATTTGTCGAGATTCCAGAAGCTGAATAACCAGGTGTTTGAATGGATGTGGATGGTCGAGATGTTGAACTGTATGGTGGAAAAGCGGAAGAACCAACGTTCGAGTAGGAAGGTGTCTCACTAGGACGAGGATTGTAAGACGATGGTACGTATGGTTGTTTACTTGGCGGGAGATACGTTTGTTTTTGAGTGGAGAATGGTGGTTGTGGTGTAGTTGGTTGACCAGATGGCCTCTGGTAAGGATAATTTGTCACTGGAGCAGGAGTTGTATAAGTTGGTGGCTGGTTGGTCGAAGGCGGCTGAAATGGTCGAGGTCTTTCCAGCGGCCTTTGAGTGCTATACGGTGGTAGATATCCTGGAGGATCCGATTGTTGACGAGCTGCAAGAGGAACAATTTTAGATTACAAGATATTGCTATTTGATAATTATACTTGATAATTGAATCGTGTAACTTGATATTTAACTTCATTTTTAATAAAATGATTTTTTATTCATTCCTACAGATGCATCTTTACGCATTTTTTTACAAGTTGAAGCCACACTTGTTATTCGAAATTTAATCAATTGTCTAATAAGATGTGCAATTTATTGTAATATTTTATGAACGGTATGCAGTGTAAAAATGCTACTAAGCGTGCGTGTTCTCGTTAAAGTTTGGTTAATTGCATTTTAATAAATGGTTATTGTTTCTAATTTAATCCGTGGAAATGTCTTTTGCATGAGCATGAGCCACTGATCGTTGAAATATCAGGGTGCCAATTTCCGTTTCTATTTAAATAGAGATTTTAATCTCTTCACATCTCTATGTACATACATGTTTTAAAATTAATTACTGTGGTGACACGATACTAGCGTTACGTGGCTATTAACTATTAACATGCTTATTTATTTATGTATTTTTCCATTTCTTCAATTAATTATTATTTCTATTGTATCACTTTTCAAATATTCGAATTATTATTATATTTCCTTGGAATATTTTTCTTTAGTGAGTTTCTACTTTTTATTACCTTATAAATATTTGTAATTGAAAATAACGACTTATAATATATGCATTATATATGTGCATTAGAGAACTGAAGAGATCAAAAGAAGAAATAAAAAGAATAAAAATTTAGAATTGTTTTATAATGTTTCCTCTTTTAATTTCTAGGGTATATCTCGAGAGGAGTTGATCCTTCTGGAGAACGTACGTTTACGTGCACCCTGCCGGTAGATCCCTTGAATCCACTCTAGGATATTTTGCGCCATCACATCTGCAGGCGATACCGGAGCAGCTCTCTGGACTCTCGAATGCGCTAATGGATTTCAAACGATTGCTTTGATCAAATTCGCTAAGTCTTTATCCTACGTTATCGCTTTCTCTCCTTCACAATCGATCGTAATCAAGTAGACTCGACGAGTCGTATCTCGCTTACCATCTCCGGATGGCGATGTTCTGACGAACAAAGCATGTCCTCCTCCGTATTCTTGACCCAGAGCCACGGCCAGACTAGCTGCGATCAGGAATGTTATGATCTTCTTCATCCTCTTTACCTGTAACTATCATTTTCTCTTTTTCTCTCTCTCTCTCTTTTTATTCTATTTTATATTTTATGATGATAAAAATATTCTACTTAATAATCTTTTCACGATACGTTGAAATATTCAAAATTTTATATTTTTATGTTTTAAACAGAGTCAGAGAGTTTTAAAATCAGATTCAATTTAATCTTCTGAATGGTATAAAGAAAAGGATAAAACTTTATATTTTTCTTGGATGTTTTGAAATACTAAATGGGATATTTTGATTATAGTGGACAGAATTGGATGAGAATCATAGATTATGATGGATGAGAATCATAATGGCGTAAGTTGAAATAATTTGAGAAATATTTATATTTGTAAATTGAGAAAAAGAGCAAAAAAAGAACAGTTTTTTATGTAACATAATATAAACTGTAGCATAATCTCATTTTCTATTTTTAATTATGATTTTTAACTCTTCAATTAACGTTAGCAATTTTTTATGATGTGAATAATTGAAAATGAATCGAGAATTATTTTCAGCAATATTTTTTGTAAGAGAATATTCTATTGAGAGTTATTCATTCCTAAGAAAATCCAAATCAAATCAAAACCATTTGAGCGCGAAAATTACATTTAAGAGTAAAACTCTCTCATTTGCTTTTAAGAATATTTTTTGCAAAAGTATATTTGTTGGCTGTTCACTAATAAAGTAACTTACCGGTAATAAAAATTACTGTCACTCAGTGATTCTCAACGGAGTGTTCATCCGTGAGAAATTTTTTCGAAAGCAACTCGACGAAATTTTATTTTTAAACATATTCACAATCCATTAAAAATACAACTTTTCTAACCAATCTTCAAAAGTTATTTTTCATAATTAAACATTGAATCAATCATTCTCGTATAATTATTCATAAAAAAGTTTATTTTCAATTAGAATCATTAGAAAATGTATACCTCTAGAAAAATTTCATTCGTAAGATTACGTATCCAATTAATAATAATCGATGTCGTTAGTGAAAACGTGGAACCTTGTATTTT